TCTGAACTGGAAGAGCAGATGGCACTCGGCCTCGCAGACAATGGCCAGCAGACAACAAAAGAAGAGCAGGTTGTGGAGCCTGAAGATCCGGGCCTGCTGCAAGAAAATGAAGAAATAGAAGACGGCGCCTGGGACGTTCTTCGGAAACGGCGCCTACTGCCAGGCGCTGCTTCATCTGACAATGACTTTCGCGCCCATTTTGCAAGCTTGGCTCTGGAGAATGCAAAATTTCAGACAAACTGCCTCAAGGAACCGTTGGATGGCTCTGGCGCTATTCGGAACTTGGTATCGCAACACAAGCGCCGCGTGGCAGAGCAATTTCCGGAATGGTCAGAATACATGTCTCGCGTCGTGACAGCTACTATGGCTGTGCTGACCCTACGGACAGTGGACGTGTTTCTACGGGAGCACGCCACTGTTCTGTGGATCATTGAAGGTGATTCACACATGCGGTTTCACCATGGAGACTGCTATGTGCTGCACCCGAGCAATGCTTTCCAACAGTACAAGGGCGTTCCCCTTGACTGCTCACGCGTCCACAAGTTTCTGATGTGCCTGGAAGGCCCGGCCCGGCCGACAGAGTGGACTGTAGCATTTTTTGTTATGCGTATGTAGGTGCGTTGCGAAATCATGCATCAGATTGTATAATATCTGCTCCAGGCCTTTTTCGAAGATTGCCTGCAAACACCGAACGCGCGGACTCACAAGTGCTGGCTGCCGTTGAGAGCCTTCTTCAGTCAGATGGCAGCGAGCGCGTGTTCCTGGAACTTTGCCAGAATGCTTGCGTCTGCAACAAAGGTGACTCTTTGCTCAAAATGCAGCAACATCAAGAAGATGATGAATGTCACCCCGGTGAAGCCAGCGTGCGAAACTGGCACATCCATTCGGCTCGAACGGTGATGCAGTTGAAGAAGAGTATCATCCGGGAACTGGCAGAGGAAAAGTTAATCACTTGCATGATCGAATGGTGCGATAGCCCAATGGTGCGTGAGTTCGGATGCTGCTATGACGACTGCTGCGTTGTTTACCCAGATGGTGGCAAAGCTCGACAGGCCCTTGTCCACATGAGCGCCAGAGATGGGTAGTTCAAAAAGTACTGGGGCAGTGTAAATGTCAAAACATTGTAGCCCGCAATATAGGGCAGGGACTCCCAATAAACAGGCCGGAAACCCCCAAGTGGCAAGTCAGTGTCTAAAGTAAACCCTACAACTCTCAACTTCCAGGTGCAACGAGCTGATGCCAAGAATATTTATGTTCGAATCCCGCATTCTCTACAGGGCGCGGTCCCAGACAATGTCTTCGACCGCCTCACGAAGTTTTATCGCCAAACCTTCTGGAGCAACATCGAGGTCTTCAGATGTTGTCAGGCCGCGCAGGCTGCTCGTTTGCATTGGGAAGGTAGACTGCTGAGATGCAGCATTATTTTACGCGACCAACTGGAAAGTTGCAAACTCAGGCCCTAGCCAAGAGAGGTCTGAATGTGGTGCGAATCTTCATCGGCCTGTCCTCTGGCGGGGTCGGTCAATCACTGTACTCGGCGCACCTGGAGGCAAGCTGTTCTTGTTTTGTTGCGTGCTGAATTGCAATTGCAAGATGTTTGTGGATTTCTGGCTGGCAGGCGATGTATGGACACAATTTTGCATACTTCGATCCGAACATATGGTACAACGAGGATGAAATGAGGAAACAAGTAGAGCAGCTGAACGGTTGCTTCATACTTACAGGCGAGGCTGAGAAAACTAGATGGACCACGTTTGACTTGTCTAGGTTCCCTGATGCATCCTTGTTGCTCAGGCCAGGAAACCCCGGGCACAAATCGAAGACTTCGCGAAGACTTGTACAAAAAGTTCATGTCAGGGGAGGGCCTCTTGTCACGCAGGCATGGGGCTAGCTGAGCTGCGTCTGGCTTCTATGAGCACATCACTTGCTGATGCATCCTGACATCATCCCAAGGTATTTCTGGGCGAAAGCCTTACGGCCTGCGCACGCGCATGATTGAGTGCAGAGGGTGGAAGCGACTTGAAGCCAATCGCGTTTTCACCATTGCCAATGTTTCCAAAAGAGATTTCAATTCCATCATGCGCCGCGGGTTTGTGTTCCGAATGATGGCTCGCTTTGAGGACCCATTGGCAATTCAAGGCATCCCACACGTCGGTTAGTGCGCTTGCGCTGTTAGTCACTGCCATGCTTCGCCAGCCCAGGGTCATGACAAAGTTTGCATCGCTCTGCAGGCGCATACCCGGACATTGACAAGGACGGGATCTTCATGAAGGACCAGGAACTCAAGGAGTTCCTCACGTCAGGGCCTGCGGTCGTCGCTGCTTTGCAGCTTCAACATGCTTTCGAATCTCAGCACAGTCAGCAGGACGCAGCATTGAACAAGCTTTATGTGGTGTACTAGGCTCCAGGTCTACTGAGTAGGCCATACCTGAAAGTGTGCGCAGGACTGTGCGCAGATGATCGAAAACTATGTCGAATGGGGCGGCGACCGAGGCCTGACTGAGAAGGTGTTGCGAGAGGCCTGCGGCATGCCGCCGCGAGACACCAGAACGCATGTGAATCGGGCGCAGACTATCATTCATGTGGATGATGGGCCTGATGCAGATGGTCAGGGTGCAGTCTCCGAGTGGGACGAAATCAAGAAGTTTCTGGCAAACCACCTATTGGCTCTTGGCCGCGTAGACATCACCAAGCACATGCTGCAAAAGCTTCGCTTCCCGTGCGGGCCCAACCTGAACAAGCAAGATTTTCTGGAAGCGCTTCTCCAGAACGACGTTATCTCTGAGGCAAAGTCGCGAGGCAAAACCCCGGATGTGTACAGAATCAAGATTGCTTGCGACAACTTGAGTTCTACGCTCGATCACAGAAACCTTTCTGGGGCAAGCCAGCAGCTGCCGGAGTTGTGCCACGTGAAGCTCTTAGAGAGGTACATGAACGGCTTTCCAGAAAGACGCGAAAATGCGTTCGTCCTCGGTGAGTTCTATCAAAGTGCAAAAGTGAAGCTGGAGAAGCCAGGTCGCCCTTCCAAAGCTGGTCTACTCCACAGTGACCAATGCGCTGAGCTGCAGAAGCAGGGCTCCAAGATCCTTGCTCAGGAGAGCTTGTTTGACCATGTTCTTGCAGAGGTGACGGAAGTTCACGTAGCTTCTCAAGCTTCTCAATCACAGTCTGCAACCCCGTCAATCAAGAGACGCCGTACTGGAAAGTCAAAGAGCGTCAAGGATGAAATTGATGCAGACGGTGACTCGAAAGCGGAGGTCGGAGAGCAAGTTCAGGTGGAACGATTTTATTCGTATTCAGATGCCCTTCCCATTCGAACTCGCAAAGTCGTGGTGGGCCCAGGCGCACAGAAGTTTAGCAGGCGTGCTCAAGTGCATCTTACAGCAGGTACGCTGGATCTGGATATACACAACTCCTTGTTTACAATCATGCTCCAGCTGCTGACTAAGTTGAACTTGAGGCCAGCCCCGCCAGATGAGGTTTCTGAGACTATACGTAAATGCGCTGAGGAGCGCGATGTAATCTGCCGCGATATTCTGCAAGTGCCAGAGGACAGCCCAGCTGATTGCGGGGTGCTTGTTCTATAGTGTTACACATTGTTTTTGGTGCTTTTAACCTCTGACTTGTGCTCTTTGCAGGACAAAGGCAAGCAACTGCTCCTCAAAATTTTCAATGGTGGTTCTATCCCTGATTGGCTAGAGGCTGGCAAGCCTTTCCTGACTAAACTTCAAAAGGCATCCATCTACTTGCGATGGGCTGCCATCTCGTTGTTGCCTGATGCCTTTGCCAAATTCGAGAGGCCTGAAAGCGACAAAAAGCATCCAGATTCTTCCGTGCTTTCGCACCTGTATTACATTGCGGAAGATTTCATATTGTCTTCCTGGTCCGAGTTTCTGCTGGGCCTCAAGCCCAGCCATATTTCTCTCCATTATGACGGAGTACGAGTGTCCAAGCCCAGCGACATGTCAGCTGAAGATTTGTGTCGCAAGTCGCAGGAGCACATCAAGGCTAAAACGGGCTTTGATGTGTGTGTGCGTGAGAAGCACCATCTGACGGTCTTGCAGCACCTGCGACAAATTGCAAGCAGCGTGCGAGAGTCAAGTCTGGCGCAGGGTTCTTGCCTTTTCCTAGATGGCAATTGTATACCTGCGGCAGTGGCTTTGCTGTTCAATACTGTGGCACGCGTGGAAAAGTTTGTCAGCAATGTCAACCTGAGCGCAAACAAGGCGTTTCAGCAGAGTGGATGCCGATCGTATGCTGAAATTCAAGAAATGCTCGGTCTTAGTGTCATTCCATTGCCAGCAGCAGACGTTTTGCAACTAGAGCCGGGTGAGTACCTGCTTCACCTGGAAGATGCGGGCAAGCCTCACTGCGTTGGCGTCAGGGTGTGCGCCGCGTCTCAAGTTGTCATTTACACTGCAGCGCAAATGCTGGAGATGGAGTTGCCCACTCTCAAGACTGCAGTGTCGCGTGGAATTGACAGTTGCGCGTCATTGGTTTTCAAAGTACTTCAGGCGCCAGCAGACGCCAACGCGCGACATGATTTTTGGAGCACAGAAGCTCTTGCACAGTTGCTTTTGCTGCGTGCCAGAGCAGGTGATTTTGTTGTCGACCCTGGGAGGGTTGATGCGGAGGTGATTCAGGTCAACTCCGATGACGAGGTCATCAGCTTAGATTCCGAGGACGAGATAGCTGAGTCGGTTGCGCAGGCTGATACTGCCTGGCTAGACGACGTGGCAAATGTAACCGTTGACACGGCGCTTCTTGGCGACCTGGAAGCGGAGGTCCAGGGCGCGGTGGAATTGACGTCTTTCATTGAGACAGAAGCTGGCCAGCGCTGCCCTTTGTGCCCTTGGCGTTGCTTTCAACGGAGAAGCAATGTGCTTCATCACATAAAAAAATACCACACCAAGCGGCAGCAGTTTTGCTGCTCCGGCACCAAGCAATTGCGAGTGGTTCTTGCCCTTCACGACGGAGATATGATTTCCGGCAAGAGAGGGCGTAACTACCTGAGACGCAGCGCTGAACTGCTTCGGGAGAAGCTTGGCAGCAGCGCCGCAGGTTTTGTTCACGGTTCGTGTCAGAGAACATAGAACCATTGTTTTCATGCAACAGTTTTGCGCCACAGGCAAATTCAGCCGGGCCTCAGCCATCGCGTCAACCACATTGACAGGGACATTCGACTAGTGCTCAGCGCCGCGGGCAGCCTGTCTTCGTGGGAGCATGTTGAACCGGTTGGACTGTAGACGTGGACGTGGATGGTGGAGGTCTTGAGTGCGTTATTGTTTCCATGCACTTGCCAGAAATTCAGAACCTGTGCGTGCGACCTGCTAAGGACCGTGCTATGTGAATCAGGCGCAAGTGTGCCCCATGCAACTTCGGCGCGTTAATGACTTGCTCTACACCCGCTGCTTTGCAGAGAAGCTCTTCCGGGAAATTATTCTGCATGTTTCGAAGGCGCGCGACACTAAAACTAAGTGCAACTGGTCTCAGTCATGGTTGAAGTGATGTGTGCGTGAATCTAGAAAGTTTGGGTTGCAGGTCAAATCTGTCTGGCCGCGATTCATGCTCGACGCGACCAGTTCTGGATGCAAGCTTGTGAATTTATTGCCATCGCACACAAAGAGCTGGTGGCCGCTAGTCGAAGACATTTTTGCATCAGAGGATTGTAAAGTTCTGATGGATTCGCTGTTAGAGCA